TGGTTACAAATTGAACCCTAGGAAATGCGCATGGTTTGTCACACAGACCAAATTTCTCGGACATATCATCGATAGGAACGGTATTCAAGTAGATCCTTCAAAAATTCAAGCAATTCTCGACAGACCTATCCCACGAACAGTTACCGAAGTGCGAGCATTCCTAAACTCTTGCAATTACTTTAGGGATTACGTCAAACTGTTCAGTAAGCTAGCAGGTCCTTTATATAGTATTACTTCCCTAGAAGGAAAGAATATACCCGTAACCCTTGATGATGAACAAGTTGCGTCATGGAGAGCTACTCGAAACGCATTAATCACCACTCCTGTTTTAAAGCCAATGGACCCTCAGTTGCCCGTGGTTCTGGATGTCGACGCTTCGGACAAGTATACGGGTGGAGTATTATTGCAACCAAATGAACAATTTACTCCCTTTCTTCGCATGAAGGTGTCGCAGCCAACAATGGAGGGTGCTCATTTACATCCTGTAGCATATACTAGCCACAAACTTAGCCCTACTCAACAAAGATATTCTTCACAAGAACGAGAAGCTCTAGGAATAGTTCAGGCTCTGCAAACTTGGCAAGACTGGATTGAAGGATGCGATATCATAATCAGAACAGATCATGAAAGTTTGGCTGGGATCCGAAAAAAATCAAATTTACCACGCAGAATGCAACGATTCATCGACATTCTCGAGCATTTCGATCCTAAGATTGTGTACAGAAGAGGAAAGTCTAATTATTTAGCGGACTGGCTTTCTAGACCTCCAAGTCCAACCACAGCTTTCCCAATCGGAAAATTCGACCCAGTTCACGATAGTTTATCATCTGTATCGTATTTCAAAATTCCTGATATTGACAGATTAACTTGGATAGATTTGCAATCAATCGGAGAATACCTCCAACATAAAGTCGCTCTTCCAAGCAATCTTCCCGAAAGTTGGGTTAATAAAAATTTTTCTTCTCACAATGGCCATACCTATAAATTTCATGACAATAAATTCTTAAAGATTTATCATTATGGAAAGCTCGTCAAGGAACTTGTAAAGCTGCATGAAGATAATGCGCACTGTTCTATAGGTACATTGATTAGAGAATCCAGAAATCATCTTTGGCATCCAGATATTGTTTTAGCTGCTCAAGAAGCGTACAAAACGTGCTCACGATGTCAAATTATGACCCAACCTGTCGATATACATTTGCAAGATACTTTACGCCCTGTACAGGTTCCCGCACCGTTCACGAGGTGGGGAATGGATCACACCGGTCCAGTACGTCATAATAGTCTGGCGGCTTATCTGTGCACTGCCATCGATCATGCAACTTCATATGCCATGGTAATATTGACTCAGTCTCCAAACACCGCCTCCTGCTTAGAACTTACACGCCAAATCTACACATTGTTCGAGATTAAACAACTGGTAACGGACAATGGACAAGCCTTCGTGAGTAAGGAAATGTCTGCTTTTTGCAGGGATAAATCAATTGAGCAGAGCCTAACAAAACCATACCGTCCACAAACAAACGGCAAAGTGGAAAGATTCAATGGCACAATTAAAAGTATTTTCTACGCCGTATCCTCTATCAATCCATCCCGCAGCATCCAGTGGATCTTAGATCAATCGCTCAGCACATACAATCGACGTCCTAACTCTACTGGTTATGCTCCCATATTCTTAGCTCTCGGAGTCACCCATGAAGAACCTCCAAGCCCTTATGTGCGAGAACTTACTCCATCGGAAGAATCAAGCTTTGCTGCCGACCTCGTGAAATTGTATAACCCGAGAGTGCAAAATGCACGCATGAATGTCGCAACTGGAAAAGCATCAAGGGATGAAATTCGTTCCTACCTTCAAGAGAGAAAGGCTCGCCTGAGAGTATTTGGAAAAGGCGATTGGGTTTTGAGGCAAAGAAAAAGAGACCATAAAGGAGAACCATTCTACGACGGTCCATTTATTGTTGCAGATGCCACTCCTCAAAACGGATACCTTCTGCGTACTCCCGGAGGGTTCACCCTACAAAATGAATACCATGGACAACAGCTATTTCCAGCTTATGTTAGGGATGGCCATCCTGTTAGATCTCTTTGGTACGGAAGCAAAACCCTACTTGATAGAGACAGACGAAAAATGTTGGATGCATTAACACCCTGGGATCACGCTGACAACGTCTGATATAGGAGAGGGGGATGGTGTGTGTCCAGGTCACGGGATAAAGGGTTAATACTATTAGTGTAATATCTGTTATGTAATCATGGGTTAGCGTAGTTGTATTCTTGGGGAGTTTCCGGTTAGCTTTGAACAAAAACAACGAACTTACACGAGACTGAACGAACTCCACAGGCATCCTGCAATCCAAGATTACAGGCGTGCTTTGAGTTCATAGTCTACAGTAAGACCTTCGTAATCCTTACACGTGAACGCACAGTGCCTCTGGGTTGGAAAAGGTAAAACTTCAAACTGGGTTGTTTAAGGGATTAGCCCTGTAGGTGCAGTTGGGCTAGCTCGTAATAGGTTAGTATGTCTCTCCTCCTTACCCCGCTCGCCATGAAGTATGGTCCAATCGTCTTCTTCTAATAATCGCTTAGTGAAACACATTTTCAACAACAATCTTGACTGCCTAACCTAAACAGTCCTCGAATCTTAACATCACACTCAATTCATCCTCACTTCTAGCAAACAATGTCTCTTCAAAAGTCTGCTTCAGAAACTAAAGCCCGCAAGCATCTAACTCGCGATCAATGTATTGAAATAAGAGTATTAAGAAGACTTGGCTTGACATTACAACATATATTCGACGTACTTAGCTTCACAAGAATGCAAGTGCAACTTGCGTGTGCTCGAGAGACTGAGAATCCTAAGCCTCGTAAAAGATGCTTATCTAAAATAAGCGCGGAACAAGGTGATGAGCTTGAGACTTTCGTCCGGGAATCTCCTGAAAATCGACAGATGTACTACTTGGAACTAGCAATGGGGCCCTTCAGCCACCGGGGGTGCAGTGAACGTTTAATTTCGAATGCCCTCAGTAAAATAGGCTACAGCAGATGCATTGCTCGGAAGAAGCATCCGTTAAGCGCGGTGAACAAGCAGAAAAGATTGGGGTTCGCCCAAATACATTTAGATTGGAGCGATGAACAATGGAGTCGCATATTATGGACTGATGAAACCCGGGTATCAGGTGATTCTCGTATGGAACCTCGTGTCACAAGAAAAGTACGTTTAAATTCTATCTAAATCTTCCTTTTACTAACAGCAGAGTTTAGCCTGATGATGAGTTTGATGAGACTTGTATTGTGGCTCGCCATGCTCATGGGAACAGCCGGATGTTTTGGGGATCATTTTACGGATCACAAAAAGGCCCATTCCTAGTCTGGGAGAAGGATTGGGGATCAATGAGGGCCTCATCCTTTTGTGAAAGGATTTTGCCAATTTTGAATCAATTTCACTCGGAAAATCCAGAATTTTTATACATGCACGACAACGCACCATGTCACAAAGCGTACTCAACAATTGAGGCGCTGCGTGAGGTTGGAATAACGCCTATTAGATGGCCACCTTACTCTCTGGACCTGAACCCGGTCGAGTCATTGTGGAATATATTAAAAAAACCACATTCAGGTAAGTAGTCCTGAGAAAATTGGGGTCAGGCTTGTGCGCTCTGCCACGTTGAAGACATTGCTACAGGATGCATGGGACTCTATACCTTCTGAGGAGCTATTGTCACTAGTTGGCAGCATGCACGAAAGATGTGTAGCAATGATAAAGGCAAATGGAGGGTACACAAAGTATTAGGATGGAGCAGACTAATTCAAAACATGTAGTACACTTTCGTTTTACTTGCGAGCCATACTGAGGGTTTCGATGTAGACTTTTGTAATATGGAGCAATAATTTTTGAAATAGTTGTGCATTTTTAGAGAACATCAATTGATTTTTTTAATTTTGAATTTCAAATGAAGACCATTGTACTTTTCCCATTGAATTGAAAACATTCCCCATTAATTTTGACTTTCACGGAATATCATTGGATAGTACCCCTGCTTGCAAAACTAGTCGAAAAACTAGATATGGGCCTGCATGAAGACTAAACCAATCTAATCATTAGGTACAGGGATATAACCCCAGTCATTTTGACAATTTTACCTTTGCCATCCATAAGAGACTGTAGTGGTATCGCTAGAGCTAGAATTTAGGCTCAATGATCTACTTGTCTGAGTGAGTCTATGTCTGCTACCTAAGTTATTGTTTGGCGATATGACCGCCCCGTTTTCCTCAACCCTGAATAGTCATCAACTACACGTGGGACCTACAAACTTCCATTGCTAACGCAAGTGAACTATCTTTTGACTCGACTTTATAAGGGGGCTAGTGAGCAACCATTAAAAGTTACATCCTGCAGCATATTTCTATTGTACAACTGTGATAGACTTGTAAAGGTTGATACAGTAAATACAAAACACCCAGACTACCTCAATGTCTTTCTACCCTGCTCAATTCTAGTTTTTAGTAGTACTCTTGTCAATTGCTGATCTTGAGAGACACCCCATTATCCCCAGTTCTACCACTCATGAGGTTTTAGTAAGTCATCTTTCGTGATATGATAAACTGAGCCAAATAAACACGAATCACAGCCAGTACTAACAAGCTGAAGGTAAAAACATTTAACCCGACATATTACCATGTTAAAACTATGTAGCGAAAGCTTTACTGGAGCATCAGACACGATTTTCTGTTGAATCAGCACTAGAGTAACTCTTTGACTTGTACCGTCCATGGATACCATGGCCGCTCCATTCACAAGTCACAGAATCCCATAGTAAACTATTTCGTGAAATTTATCAGATAAACGGGAGAGATTTTCGCGGTTAATACAGTCCAATTTGTTACGCTTTGGCTGACGATCACGCAAATAAAAACAGGAGTACAAAGCGCGTATATTTAAAATTCAAATATTAATCTTTCAACACATACAACTACAACTCATCCATTAGTATATTTAGAAAATGGTCATACTCAGCCAGCGAATCCATTTTTTCGAAATAAATGATGAGGCTTGGTTTGTACAGCCCGATTCGGTACGGTGATTGATAAAGAGAAACTAAAATGCTATAAACAGGTTTCCTCAGTTCCTCCGAGAGCACGTCCAAAGCTGTTTGAATAGATTCTGGATATTCAAAGTCCCTCTACTACAGAGCTCTTCGCCGGCGCAGTTGGTAGCAAGTACCCTCTATCGAGTTATTGGCATGGACATAAGGAACTATACCATTGTCGACTTCTGCGCCGGTGCAGGAGGACCAACGCCCGTCATAGAGCATGATCTAAATAAAAAACTAGATTCAGCCTCTCGCGAATCACACGGCAATAGTCAAGATGCTAACGATGGCCAAGATGTCCAATTTGTACTAACAGATCTTCATCCCCACATCCAAGCATGGACCAAGATTTCCAAGCGCAGTAAGAATATAACTTATGTTTCCGAACCCGTTGATGCGACAAATGCACCTGCAACCTTGACGGGAACGCAGGGCAAGAAAGTCTTCCGAATGTATAATCTTGGATTCCATCACTTTGACGATGCACTAGCTTCGCAAATATTACGGAATACCCTTGAAAACTCTGATGGATTCGGGTACGTCTTAGAATTATAACACAGTTCTGATGGCGAACTAGCTAACGGTTGCTTTTCAGTATCTTCGAGTTACAAGACAGAACTTTCTCGTCCCTGATAATGATGATCGGCCTCGGGCTTCTGCTAAGTCTTATTACCCCATTTTACTTTTGGCGGTCACCAAGCCATCTACTGTTCACCTATATTATTCCCATAATCCCTTTTGTTGTTGTATTCGACGGGTATATTTCGGCCTTGCGTACGCGTACCCCCGAGGAAGTCGAGACCTTACTGAGGGGATGTGGTGTATCTCTAGATGATTGGAAACTACTAAGTGGGACTGAACAACATACATGGCCTATAGGTAATATGTCATGGGTGATTGCCCTCAAGCGATAGACGGCTTGGGGGAAGTGGCGGAGAGTGGTTGAAGGCCTTCAATTGATTAAGGATTTATGGTTAATTGGTTAGTGCCCAGTTTCAATGCGCCCATAGGACCTGCCACCAAACTGCAATATCTCAAATTAGATGCTACGGTGAATTGCAAAACTCTCTTCAATTCTGTTGTGATAACTAAGGAAGAGGAGTGTTGGTGACATTTTAACCACTGCCATGGCTGGATGGTGCAATAGTACATCCGGGCCATCTTCCAAGTAGAGTCTGGATAACCTAGACACACAACCCACTTGAGCCAGGAGATTGATGGTTCGAATCTATCTAAACACAACCTATAGGAAAATGGTAATGTTCTCCTTTGTAGCTATTGATGGTGACATGAATTAAGGTGATGGTTGTGAATGAGATAGATTTTTATATGTTCTTTAATACGTGATATGCTCAGGTTCATATATATACAAGGAAATGGTTAAACTGTCCTTTGCAGCTATTGATGGTGACATGAATCAAGATGATGATTGTGATTGAGATGGATTTCTATATAGTTTATTATACATGATGTGTTCAGGTTCATATACCTCGAGCCAAGCAACCAGATTATGTTCCTCCAGATCTAGATTCATCAGAATAATTACTTACTCAGTAAAATTCGCCTAGTCACAGTCGTGTATTTAGAATTTTGACTAGGTTTCTAGTGATTAGTCAACGATATTTCTCCTATCACTGAGACATAATCATGGCTGATACAACAAGTACAAACGATAATCGTGTCTGCACACGACGTTGTGATATAGTCATGATCGTCTGAACAATATCAACTCATGAATGAATCATGTCTCTACATGACACGATGCTTGTGCCCGACGGAGGAAGCAAAGCGTGGCGCACAAATCTGGGTGACATTTCTTTGGGATGTGTGTAAGAAAAATCCGTACAAGTTTACAAGATGACGCAGAGGAGTACGATCTTGACGGGTGTGGGACTTGTATATTTGGCCGGCAGTTTTGCAATACGGAGGGTATTGCGCATGTCAAAACTCCGATGGCGAGACCGCAGCTGACATATTAGGTATTGTGTTATCTAGGTGAATTAGCCTGGTAGATGCTTGGGGTCAACTTATAGTCGACAGGATAGAGTTAATGGGATCAAGGCAAACGAGCTGGACACTTCTCCTGGGAGAGAAATGGTGTCACGATGGAATGTTCTAGCACCAGGCTGTGAACAACACAGTAAGTCTGTAGCAATATGTAAGGAGATCTCAATCTCCATTACTTCTCTTGACCAAGTTTCCTCTACACAAGAATATAAACACAAGTCTTACTTATCATGATAACACATGAGCCGGCAAAGAAGAATTCTTCACCTTCCAGTGCTGCCGGTGTAATCGCTCAGTATGCTCTGCATGTCTGTGATAGCCAAGACGAATCGCATCCGAATCGAAGTCGAAAGCAACCTCATACACATCTCCACTTGACAACTTCTCGACAATGCCTCTCTCATCATCATCATCTGAGTTCTCAACACATCTCTAACCACGCATCATCTCGCCTCAACGACCAATAACGAAGCTGTTCCAATTGCATACAGGAGCTTGCCCTATTAATTTTCAGCCATCTCTCACTACATATTTACGACGCTATTTATACCCGCAAGGAGGAAATCAAGTCGAAAAATACAAAGCCTGGGTCTTGGCTTATGGGGGACTGTTGCTCTAATGGGACAAACAACTTGAGGAAGAACAGGCGCCTGAGATGTGGAGCGAGAGGGGAAAAAGGCATCTGAAGAGCATGCTAGGACCGATAATTTCGAGGAGTTTTCAACTTTGGATTTTTTGTGGGCGCCAAGACCGAGATTTCGGCTAATTAGCCAGGAGAACTTCAACTATCGATAAGTCAATGGCACTCTCTAGCGCCCTGGACGGCACAAAAGAAGTTGGGCTAAGCTGCCATACAGCAATCACGCTCTGTCAAGACTTTTCTGACATTTCACTACGACCTTCGGGAAGGAGTTGGAAGGAGGCTAGAAAGGCAGAGAGTGAATTTCCCGAGGTACCCACAAGTCTGCAGCGCCCAGCTGGCCGGCCTCTTCGAACGCTTCAGAAGGGGCATTATATCTTCAGATTTAGTCCTAATGTCGGTATTAGAAGAGCTCCGCACCCAGTGGTTTTTGCGATTTTTCCCGGCTGCCATACACCCGCAAATGGCCATCGTTTCGTTGGCTGGAGAGGGGAGATGATAGAGGGCAAAGGGCTCCTCTTAGTGTATGATCGAATGAGGACTTTTGAGGGGTGGTACTGTTTGAGGGGAGCTGTATGGGAGGCATAGGAGGGGAAATACTACTGGTATAGGTATCCTTGGCCTGTAGGCAGAGAGGACCTGCATGTCCTACATAGTCATAGACTTAGACAGGACAATAAAATGAATTAATAATAATAATAATGAGAACACATGCGATAGCGACTAAAGAAACCTGCTGTGAGCGTATCCTCCCCAAGAGTATCCATCTTCCCTTTCCTATAAAGCCTAGTTAATATAACAAGCCAACGAAGGAAGGTAGTGAGGTCCGCCTCCCGGCGGTATCTCCGATATAATTTGAGTAGCCTGGGCACCTACACTACTTGAGAAGGAGACAACTTTCGCCACATTTCGCGTGTAAAAATGTCAAAAGATGAGGAAGGCATGCCCGGATAACTCGTAGTTTTTGAGATGTTTCCTGGGTTGGTATTCACGGAGTTTGTAGAGTGAAAAGAGTTCTAGGCAACATCTGTAGCAGATAAACTGTCATTAGAAAGCTGGTTGGGCATAGGGCGGCGAATCAGGGCAGACAAGATTTTCCTTGATATTTTTGATTTCAATAACGAAAATTTCTGGCCAAATAAATCCAGCATTAGCGATGACACTAATTCCTACGGAAAAATGCACCCGTGTCAAGCCTCCTGGGTGCAGAGCCATGGTCTGATAGGTTAAAATGATCAATTCAATTCCGTACTTCCACAAGCGTTAGACCCATCTTATTCCATATGTTGGATTGCACTGATTTGTGCCGTAAGATACAAGGATACCCTCGTACAATAACTGAAATACAATACTCTGCCAGATAAGGTCCTTTTCACTGAACACTGCCACATGAATACCCACCGAAAGGAAGGTTCAGAAATTTTAATTTCCTGAAAATGCCTTCGTCATCTATACATACATACCAGCATCGCGAAAATTATGGTCGAGTCCTGCAGGGTTCGAACCAACGATCTTCTATGTTATGAGGTATATAGGTCCAAGTTGTTCAGACTATACTTGGGTAACCGGTTACGATGATGTACCACTGCACCATCCAGCCATAGCCGTACTTGAAATATCACATGCACTCTCCTGACTCAGGGCTTTGGGCGCATGATGTTCTTCAAGTTGTCGTATCCTCACCCAAGATTCAATGTTTGCTCCTTTCAAGCCACTTTCCACAAATGGAATCATCTAATAAAACCATCCTGATATTTTTTCCGTCCACCCCAATAATCTGTCTCTAGGTTGGCGCACCAAGACTATTGTTCTCCTGCACACTTTCGTATTGGTGCATATTTCTTTTGAGGCTAGCCATTGCTAGAGATTGAGTCGGGGGACTATTCTCAACACCTGTCTGTAGTGTCCCTTACGAACCTCCAGCTCTTACCGTAGAGTCTGCAGAGCTGAGATTGAGTAATAAAGTTTTCACTTCTATGAGGATTCGCAATCGCTTTCGCGGTCTGTATCGTCTTCATCACTAAACACATCCTCCTGTCACCATTATTATATTGCAAACCACCATCAGATCTGATGATAGAGTCAGAGCCCTACTCACCACCCAAGCTTGATCATGGAGGAGAGGCCATCCGATGAGTTTGCGGAGTGCACCCAGCACCCGATACGGAGATGGTGGATTGGATCAAATTGACCTCGAATGTTACAAAGAAGGGAGATATAGATGAATATGCGAACCTCATGTGGTCCCGGTATCTAGGCCTCACCTGGACAGGGCCGCAGGTTTTTTGAGACTTTTTCCCGCGCACGCAGTTTCCATCGCTACCATTTTTACTTTTTTGGGTAGAAGGTTCCGTGGAAAAGTTGGCCGAATTCTACGGGTAAATACTGAGCTTAATGACTTTCCATCACGGGCAAAATATCAACAATCTTTCAAGAAACATGAGAGGCAAGGAGCACTGTACAAGGTATGGACTGGGGCAGAGAGGAGCTCAATGTGCTAGATAGTCTATGACTCAAGTAGTACAGTAAAAAGCATCACTAGAGATTGAGCCAATTTCAGGTTTGGTCATTGAAATAAACATATACTGAGTCGTACTTGGAGACTTAGTGAGGATTGGATGGAAGTCAGTCCGTTGAGCAAAATAAATTGGAGAGACAGAGAGAGAGATATGAATCAACGCCTTGTGGGTCAAGTCGACCTTAACTGCAGAATTTGGCAGAACTTGGCTCTACATTAACATTTCGCTCACAAGTCCGTTTAGAATGACGCTTAATGGCGTTTAGTCTTTGTCCTCTGCAGTGTGGGTTTACCAGATGCTATTCTTCGTAATAGTTGATTACTTGAATAGGCCGACGTTTTGATGAAATACCCAAACTTTGTTCAAACCAGTAATGCACTTAGTGGTGCTAGGTTGGCATAAATATCTTTCCAGAAGTATTCTACTTCTACAGTTAGCAAAAAAATAGGATAGCTGTTTAACTCTTGATACCTTACGGTTGCTCGTCCTTCTGCAACCTGCTGAGCTAGAACAACGACCCTACCAATAGTATTAGCTGACAGTTGAACTTTCTATAACGCGGATGTTGGCTACTGCCAAGCTGTCTCAGTAAGCCGGACGAATGAGAGATCCGCTGAGACAATGAAGGCGTCGCCTTACGTCTTTTATTTTTTTATTTTTTTTTTGCATCAGATTTGAATTGCGTATGCAGCTATCTAGCTATGACACAATATCAAAGAAAAGTACAGAAAAGATGACTCAATTTACAAGAGGAGCACTCATGCCTCGGATTTTATTTGCAAGTACCACTGCGAAGTTATGGTGGCTTTTTCTTCACCCCAAGTCAACCCTCATCCGTGAATACCCACCCAGGGGAACGTCTCAAAAACCCTGAGTTATCCAGACATGCCTCTATCATCCATCAACTTTTCTCCGCGCGAAATGTGATCTGAGGTGTCTCCTTCCCAAGTGGAGTAGGTGCCCAGGTTACTCAGACTATACCAGAGAATACCACCAGGAGGCGGACCACAACACCTTCCATCGTTTGCTTGTTTTTATAGTGTCAGCTGCACTCTCGCAAGCGAAGTCTTGGCGCGCACAATGCCTAATTCGAAAAACTCCTTGCCAAAATTCGGAATCTCATGCCCTTCGAGGTTATATCCGTCCTTCGCATCATCTTGTAAACTTGTCCTGATCCCTCTCACATCCATCCCAATGAACTGTCTCCCAGATTTGTGCGCCACGCTTTCCTTCCTCCGTCGGGTATAAATATCGGCGTGGGCGTGTATTTGGTGACCAGCTGAGGCCAGAGAAGGTCGAAGAGTGGTGTGGTCATTGGAATGAGGATGTACTTGGTCGTACTTGTAGACTCGATGAGACGAAGATAGGAGTCAAAGTCGTTGGGAGCGAAATAACGACGTGGATGAGTAAATTGGATTTTTGCCTCGTGGGCCAACTTCTTTGATATTGCGAAATTTGACAGAACTTGGCTCTGGGAGAATATTTCACTCCCAGGTTCGTAGAGGACACCGCGTACAGGTGCTCAGTCTTGCCCTCCGTCGCCTTACGTCGCGGAGCTGACGCGACGGTAGATTCAATGTATGACCTGATCCAAACCATTCCTTCAACATACCGCCTCGATGCCTCTTTTTTCCTCAATCTTTGAATGTGTACGCAGCTAAGTAGCTACGTCAAATGGCTGTCGATTGGCATCCCATGCACGCGCTTTTATGTTTCGCCTAGTTGAGTCGAAGCAACATTTATAGCCATCACCATCGTGGCGGCAATGCGATCAGTAATCCGCGATTCGCGCAGACACACTCAATATCGAATGTGGCCCTACCTCATCAACTGTAAACAATGCTAGATTATTGATGGGGCTATCTCTTGGCCCACCGGAAATATGGAGCTTGCTCTTTCCTTCATTTAATTTCCCAGGCGTAGGAGAGGAGTGGATCCTATCCGCATCAATCCCAAGTTGCCTCTCACTACAGAAATGATGCTGGCCATGTCTAATTGTAGACATGTGTTTGGGCTCGCTTCAACAGTTAAAAAGCATCGAGACGGCCTGTATATTATTCAGCCGAGTCCAAGTACATTTACTGCTATTTGCATGAAGTTTATCGCTGGGCTTGACCTGTACACTGTCCCTGAACTCAATTTATACCATCTACGGCTATCGAGCCCCTCAATCCACATAGATTGACGGCACTACCCTCTCCCTCAAACCATGCACTGCCTGTATCTCATCATCTCACCCATTTCGCTCACTCAACAGAGTGATAAACTCAACTATCACCTGGTCTCACACTACAGAGAAGGTCATCTCGACGAGTATATTCGCTATAGGGGGAGTATTCCAAATGTCCATAATTTAGGCCGTAAACTTGGAAATATTCATCATTTCCCATTGGCTATTATCGCAGTAGATTATTCATGGGGAAAGCTTTGCGCCACGGACATTATTCATCTTCAAGAGGTATATAATTATTTCGGTGGGAGGCCCAACCGCGAAGTGAACCTCAAAAAAGGCTCGTCAGACCTAATGGACAAAGATTACATGGTATGTCACAACATTCTACTACAAGCAAGAGATAAAAGATCCAAAATTCGACTATCAAGCGTCATTAATGCAGAATTTGCCCCCTGTACGCTAAAAATACTGCTGCGACTTGTTTCGTCAAATCATGCCAAGGTTGTTGGTCCTTTTAGTAGTTACAGTCATCAAAAAAAGTCAAGACTTTCTGTCATAGGTAACGTCAATATTCCAGCAAAAAATATATTAGATTCGCCTGATCCAATTATCTCGACCGTGATAGAAGGAACTGAAATGCACCTCGTCTCTGTCGCTGGATATCTCAAGCTGATCATCAAGAAGGGACCTGATATATTTGAAATAATGCCACGCTTAGGAGATCATCCAGACGATAAACTCTACGATTTCTTGGTGAATTACGAAGCATTTCATCAAGTTGCTCCAAAGCTCAACCTGGAACAGGCTAGTATTGTCTAAGCCCAGCCAATTGTTCGCTTCAATTAAATCAAATTCAGACTTGATGGTTGTGAAAATACGTGATACGAGCACAGAGTACGACGATACCCTTTCTATCTATCCAAAATATTGATGCTTCGACTCTTTACTTTTTATTTTGATCTTTATCGCCTTAAAACGAGGGCTCTAAATTTGTAGGAAAATAGTCCTGGGGTCTAGTCAGATTATTTACATCTTGCCACAATTTCTCGAGATACTTGGATCTTTTACCTTAGTAAGGCCGGCCCCATGTAAAGTGGCCTGTTTCTGATCGACTCTAGTACAATATCAAAATCTCAAACTACACTTTTTTAATACTATTGTCGTTCTTTCTGCACAAAGGCCAAGGATACCCATGCCTCTTAGCTGCCCCTTTAAATAGGATCAAACTTTTCCGAACTTGATCCAATTATACGCCCAGAGAAGCCTTAGATCTATCTTTGTCTTCCCTCCAACCAAAGAGACCGAGGTCGTTTGCAGGCCTATAGTAGCTAGGCAAAATCAAAATCTGCCTGGATTGGGTTCAAGTCGATTATTTGTAACTTCATCTTGTGATGTTATTGTTATGATTCTAGTAGGCGCAAGGAATCAAGGACTTTATGACACGATTCAGTAATTATGTTCCGTGGCAATATCGATGCAAGCTCATATTAATGCATGACTCAATTGCGAGTCGTGCTAATTAGTAGGAGCTTGGAGATTAAATATTGCGATACGCAATAGATGAGTACATCAGGTACTCAATAGGCATGTTTGTCGAGCAAATTGGATATGTGTCTAATCAGGTGCATTTAGCCTTAATGTGAACTACCTGTTCATCTTTAGATATCCATCTATCCTGAGATAGTCTAAATTCATTCGCTCACCAACCAGATTATATATTCCACATCTTCTTTAGACTTGCCGTCTTACCACAATGCTTATTCTTCTAGCCCCATAATAACAACATCTATGGCCTATAGCTCTAATTATTCATGAGGCAGAAACTCAGTTTGCCATTATGTGTATGTGTTGATTGTACTACTTGAGTCATAGACTATCTAGCACATAGGGCTCTTCTCTGACCCAGGCCAAACCTTATATAGTGCTCCTTGCCTCTCATGTTTCTTGAAAGATTGTTGATATTTTGCCCGTGATGGAAAGTCATTAAGCTCAGTATTTACCCGTAGAATTCGGCCAACTTTTCCACGGAACCTTCTACCCAAAAAAGTAAAAATGGTAGCGATGGAAACTGCGTGCGCGGGAAAAAGTCTCAAAAAACCTGCAGCCCTGTCCAGGTGAGGCCTAGATACCGGGACCACATGAGGTTCGCATATTCATCTATATCTCCCTTCTTTGTAACATTCGAGGCCGACTTGATCCAATCCACCATCTCCGTATCGGGTGCTGGGTGCACTCCGCAAACTCATCGGATGGCCTCTCCTCCATGATCAAGGTTGGGTGACGAGTAGGGCTTCGACCCAACCGTCTGATCTGATCGTGGTTGGCTTCATGATAATGGTGATAGAGGAATGTGTTGAGAGATGAAGACGATACAGACCGCGAAAGCGATTGCGAATCCTCATAGAAGTGTGGACTTTGTCACTCAATCTCGGCTCTGTAGACTCTACAGCGAGAGCTGGAGGTTCGTAGGGAAAACCACTGACAGGTTTTGAAAATAGTCCCCCATAGGCACAACGTTGAATTCAATCCAAATCGACCGACAATAAAGCCGGAAACGACAAAAAAAAGGTGTAGTAACTGCCTAAGTTACGGTGCCATGCACCGCATCCCTATCTTCCAATTAATCTCCTCTCGAGTTAGAAACAATCTCGGCATGGTCACCTCTCACTCTATCCATTCTTGGGCAGACTGTAACATCTGCTGATAGTTTGGAATTTAATGACCTTCTCCCATCCCATGGGTGACAATTTTCAACACCTGTCAGTGGTTTCCCCTACGAACCTCTAGCTCTCACTGTAGAGTCTACAGAGCCGAGATTGAGTGACAAAGTCCACACTTCTATGAGGATTCGCAATCGCTTTCGCGGTCTGTATCGTCTTCATCTCTCAACACATTCCTCTATCACCATTATCATGAAGCCAACCATGATCAGATCAGATGGTAGGGTCGAAGCCCTACTCGTCACCCAACCTTGATCATGGAGGAGAGGCCATCCGATGAGTTTGCGGAGTGCACCCAGCACCCGATACGGAGATGGTGGATTGGATCAAGTCGGCCTCGAATGTTACAAAGAAGGGAGATATAGATGAATATGCGAACCTCATGTGGTCCCGGTATCTAGGCCTCACCTGGACAGGGCTGCAGGTTTTTTGAGACTTTTTCCCGCGCACGCAGTTTCCATCGCTACCATTTTTACTTTTTTGGGTAGAAGGTTCCGTGGAAAAGTTGGCCGAATTCTACGGGTAAATACTGAGCTTAATGACTTTCCATCACGGGCAAAATATCAACAATCTTTCAAGAAACATGAGAGGCAAGGAGCACTATATAAGGTTTGGCCTGGGTCAGAGAAGAGCCCTATGTGCTAGATAGTCATAGACTCTTTTTTTTGTGTATCAGTTTTAATTGCGTATGCAGCTATCTAGCTATGACACAATATCAAAGAAAAGTACCGAAAAGATGACTCAATTTACATGTGGGGCACTCATGCCTCAGATTTCATTTGCAAGTACCACTGCGAAGTTATGGCGGCTTTTTCTTCACTCCAAGTCAACCCTCATCCGTGAATACCCACGCAAGGAATGTCTCGAAAACACTGAGTTATCCAAACATGCCTCCATCATCCATATAGTTTTCTCTGCGCAAAATGTGATCTGAGATGTTTTCTTCCGAAGTGGAGTAGGTGCCTAGGCTACTCAAACTATACCAGAGAATACCACCAGGAGGCGGATTGCAACACCTTCCATCGTCGGCTTGGTTTTATAGTGGCAGCTGCACTATCGCTAGCGAAGTCTTGGCGCGCACAAAGCCTAATTCGTTAAACTCCTTGCCAAAATTCGGAATTTCATGCCCTTCGATGTTACATTCTTCCTTCGTATCATCTTGTAAACTTGTCCTGATCCCTCTCACGTCCATCCCAAAGAAATGTCTTCCAGATTTGTGCGCCACGCTTTGCTACCTCCAGCGGGTGTAAATATCGGCGTGGGCGTGTATCTGGCGGTCAACTGAGGCCAGAGAAGGTCGACGAGAGGTGTGGTCATTGGGGTGTGAATCTACTTGGTCGTACTTGTAGACTTGATGGGGTTTAGCTAGGAGTCGAACTCGTTGGGAGCGAAAAAATGACATGTCAGAGTAATTTGAATCATCGCCTCGTGGGCCGACTTCTATGATGTTGCGAAATTTGGCTGAACTTGGCTCTGGGAGAATATTTCAATCCCAGGTTCGTAGAGGACACCGCGTACAGGTGTTCAGTCATGCCCTCCTTCGTATTTTATTGTCGGTGGCGTAAGTAGCAAGAGGCTCTCAGAGCCTATCTACCCCTGCCACGTCCAAATAATTGTTGGGTCTTTCCTATCACGTAAAAGATTTCTTTTTCAAGTTCAAATTCCGTTTGTGACTATTCGAAATGGCAGAATCAAATCTAAAAGCCCAACACCTTGCCATGATAGCCAGTTGTAGCTGGTCCACCATCCGTTCATGGATTGTATCACTTGGAATAGACACGAGTATGAAGCGGCACCGGAGGTGCGAGAGAAAACATTAAAATTGACAGCTTCTGTACAACAAATCAAAAAAAGCGGGTAAGCATCATGGTAGTCATTCACGAGTCATTCGACTCATACTTCCAACATCCAAGAGAACAGGACATGACCTGAGCTCGGGAATCAACCGAAGAATACCGGTGCTGAAGATGAGACAAAAGATAAACAATTACGAAATCAGCAATGTTACTTGACCAAAAATCGTTCGCTCTGTCAAGATGATAAGCTATTTGGAAGGGAAATCCTCCAGGCCTTGACACATACATAACGCCGCCAAGAGACTCCTCCAAATACTTTGGGCCGAGGAGTGGTTATAGAGCGATTAGAAGGTTCAACACGGCTAAGCAATCAATCATAATGCGATTTTCCAAGGTGGCCACAATCCTTCAAGGCGCCAGCTTCTTGGTGGCAACCTCTGCTAGCTTTACGACGGCTCATGTACCCATGGAATCTAAAGTTTTTAATTGTTTGGGGCGCAAACTTATGAAAGCCGATTTCCTACAAGGAAAACAGGTCGCAGTCAGTCTTATAGCAAAACGCAAGTTGGTGGGGAGTGTTGAAATTGGCGCTACTTGGCAATGAAGAGTCGCATTAATATGTGTTAAACATCTGATGTTTTGGAACCTACTGAATATGGTAATGAGAATCATTGGATAGTGGGATGACACATCTTGTCAGATTAACTAACTCGAGCTTTGATATCTCACCAGGGATATGGTGATCAGGATGACTAGGATGTTCAGGATGTTCAGGATAGTCAAAGCTCTAACATTAGATCTTTTGATCTTCAACATATGTAATATATTTCATATGTAATTTTGGGAAACGAGGAGAAGATAATCTCTCCTCGAAATAGTTTCAGATGGGTATATAGCATCACTGCTGGAGAGGAGTTGAGGAGCAGAGATTTCATCAATACCACTTTACTTTACATTTTTCATTTGACCCTCAGTGTCTAACAATATGGAACGTAATAAGGTTCTATTATTACTAGGCACATTCATGACTACTCATACATTGACCAGCCTCCCAATTATTTAGCATAAACAAGTGAATCGTGTCCTTCACTAAGATGTAGTGATTAGCTTAAATAGCACTCTGATACTAAGTGGGTTTAATAAACAAACCTCCACTAAGGTTTTCAGACTCTTCAATCTTCCAACTCGATTCACTAGGTGATATTAAATACAAGCCTAACAGATTACGCTTCTCTATACAACCTCCATTACAACAGGGAGATCATCAGTTTACATGGAAGAAGAATTCTTAAATGATGAAAAAATAGATACGATAATGTATAGTGATCGGGAAACGACGATGGACTATTTACATTTGCTTCCTCGCTCATGCTACAATAGGTGACATAATATTTTTACAGCTATGTACAACAGTTAATTTATACTAAAGCCGAGGAAGTCGACGGTTATGATCATAATGCCATTCATAACCTCTTAATAGATAACCTTCATCGAGTTCCTGACATCTTGCTTAAAGAGAGCTGGACTACTCGAGAGGGGAGCACGGCGACGGGTATTGGAGCAAGAGGACCATAAACATCATTCTGCACCATCATTGGTTAAGTTATATACTGCCACGCAAACTAGATAATGCCGGAAGTTTGATTGTAATTTAATGTCTAAGTCAAGCGGTACTTCCACCCTCCTGTTGATGCTTGGATAATGATGGGGCTGGACTGAGTCATACAAAGAGCCATTCACCAGATGAGCATCTTTTTTACTATGACCTTATCCATATGTATAACTTTGCTGAAAGTAACCGTCCAGCTTGTTGTATTTAAGGGAGTAACATGACTGTATTACAATAAACTGTTGTTAGACTCTACGAGTCAATTGCCGGCAAAGTCGAATTCTCCACCTTCCAGCGGTGCCGGTGTAATCGCTCAGTATGCTCTGCATATCTGGGATATCCAAGAAGAATCGCATCCTTCGCAACGGCAGCTTTCTGAGCGTGGCCCTGTCGATTTCGATTGACACATGGGCTAGGTTCCGTTCCCGGCACGATAGATCAAAAGTTGAAGTTTGGGTCTCTTCTATTTAGTCTTCTAACAACTTCCCGATTGAATTTGACTAGCACTTTACGACTCACCAATAATCTTCCCAAATCAAAGGTAGAATTCCTTTCGCTTTCAACCTTACTAAAATTGTGTGCAGGACTGTGTAATTTCTCGGCCTCATTTTAGGCAAGCACCTCGACCGCGACATCAACATTCTCAACTTTTCGACACATTCCAAAGACAGCGCGAACGAAGAAGCCTCACTCAGACAACGAACAATGTACGACAAAAGCTGGGGCACCGACGCCTCGGTTTTGAGCTCTCGATTTCTGAATTTCAGCCCTCTCAAATGGGGGTTGAGCGCAATGCAGGGTAGAATTTTGGAAGAACGACATGTGATTTTCAACAGGCTGTTGGCACAGTTGGTCGGGTGCTGGATGTGCTTTCTAGAAGTTGTAGGTTGGATTCCTACCCGGCCTGTTAAAGGGGGGACTACGGCTGCTCGTCATGAAAGAGTACAGGAGGAATTATTGAGGTTTTCTCACCAAGGTTTTCCCTCAATACATGGTCTTAGGATCATGATGAATGCGTTCCTGCCAATTCGACCCGATGTAACTTAGTGTCATAGCTAGATAGGCTGAATACACTTAATGATTTAAAAAATATATATATAAAAATATATAAAAAGACCCGATGTAACTAGCGTGAGGCACGTATTTGGAAAAGTCAGGCTCCGGATGGGCTTTGCTGGAGAATGGAGGAACTTGTATTCTAGATGTCCTCCATGCGTCTCATGTCCATTGGATGGAGGATGTAAGCCTGGCATGATAAATATAATCATCACCTACGAGTCAATTGAATAATGAATGAAGTGAAAGTAAAAAGTGTCAATTAATTCCTGGCTTCCATTTCTCTTTCTATTGCTATCTAGATTATGTACCTCTAGAAAATGGCAAATGCCCTATGTGTCCCCAACTTGTCCCCATTAACTGAGTCTCACATGGTTTGGAACGAAACATCTCTAGTCAGAACAAATAGAGCTCTTATTGCTACAGCCCAAGCGAAACACCTTTGTCCGAAACAAGTAACTCCAAGCTTTGTTAAGCTAACTCCTTAAAGTCTATATTGATCGCTGTTGTACTGGTGATGGCTAGGATTACGATGCACGAGGGTAATGATCACTGAGGGTGAAGGAAGAACTTTCCAGGTGGCTCCATGATGAGTAGAGGAACAATGGAGCACTGTATAGAAAGTGTTTCTGGATTGTACTGCCAGATGGAGGAGACTAGAATATTCCGTGATACTATTTTGGGTAAATGAGGCGAGAGTCTAGCTACCTCAGATGTGTATATAATTAGCGCTTTAAACCTCTTAAATCCTCGTAGTTCTGAATATCAAATATATCAGCAGTTCAGATTGATTCATCGATAATCATCCGCAAACCTTCTGCCAATTAACCTCCGTAAGCTCTCACCTTTACAACAATCGCTCCCAAACTATCCACAGTTTGATAACTGTTCACACTAGAATAATGTTCATATGCGCCATAGGATATGATTGACCTAGATCATCACTCATTGGTATGAAATAGTATTTCCCAATAGATTCCCAATGGTATCTATCGGCGCTAGGATCTCTCACATCCTTCCTTTCTCGGTTAGACAAGAACATATGTTGGAACATCCACTAGTGTGCAGAACCCCCTTATTCATGTATATAGAAGAAGGTCCTGTCACGTAGATAAATTGAGCAATTAATACAATAGGAAATTATAATAATCTCCAAATTACTTACACACTTGAGAATACTAGGGAATATCCTCAAGTTCGTCCATTGATCCAAGTCCTAAGAGTATAACTCACGAACTTTACTTCTCTTAAAGCCATGGCTACCTCCTTCCATACCTTCATCCTAATGGTACGTCATTCCAGCTCAGCATAGCCTTTCAATACAGGGAACCTGATATGTGTGCGCTGAAGCGTGAATACTTCTCCAGTCTCGACCACCATGCGCTCGAGCCTCTAGCATTTTTTAAACCTTTAATTCGTCATTTTTTTTAAAAATTCATATTGTATTCAGCTATTTAGCCATGACAACGTCATTTACTTCAGGTCAAATTTCTGCCTTTTCCACGAATTCCTCATCATCTCAGTATCCATTTTTTTCATTGAAGATTTTATGCAGTGGCCACCAGCGACTCTAAGTAGCTGATTACGATCTCTTCGTCCACCATATTTTCTACTCTATCTTTCGCTCACAACTCCGAACTTGAAAATTGAGATGCGTCATTTGATTTAGACGAGCTACATATTTTTTTCGTGGCATTTATCTACTGCTGCGATTGTCCATCAGTATTCCTGTCATGTAACCCAACCCGACTAGTGGAATTCATGGATGAGTCAGCTTATTGGGATCTTTCTTTAATTCATAATGTACTCAGCTTTCTAACTATGGGACATTTAAAATTTGCGTTTAGAACATTCTCCTCCTAATTAATCACTCTACACTTCAATCTAAGCAAAAAATTCCCCAATTATATGTACTAATTTAACTCTCTTTTTATGCTGCCATGTTCTTGGACATATCCAAATAATTGAATAATGCCTCCTTTCCCATTTTTGTACAAAATAAGGTCGTAAGTTTTATTGGCTCTTTGTCCACAAATTTTCTGCTCCTTTGGCCACTGAATTTTTGACAGTGTATCAACAAGTGCTGCGCATTTCGTTTTCCTTGCCCACAAAAATTACAAAGGTTTCCCCTTTTTTCCATTTGGTGGATATTAACGGTTGAGCGAAGGGTGAAAGTCCATAGACCAAGGTCTAGAGTGGTATCAGTGAATGTGCCCACTACATGAGTGGTCCAAATTTCAAACTGAGTTATCGTATATAGTGGTTGGAAAAGTTAGTCTTCTCCGTGTCATGCTCTTTGAGTGCAGGGCTTGTGCTCGTCAGGAACAAACACTCATTCATCCATTACGTGGCGGTAATTACTTTAATCACCAATGGAGCAAAATGATTCTTTTGGTGCTCTTGATCCACTATCCACCGCTGCGCTCTGGTCTTGAATAGTCCACCTCTCCTTAATCATGATGCCAGAAACTCGATGAAGGTTATCAATTAAGAGGTAATGCATGAAATGATGTTTATAGACGTCATCATTTTCAGCTTTTGGAAGAATGAGCCATTAATCAAGATGTAGAAAGAGTATGTGACTCACTATACCATAAGTGATTGAGCCAATATAAATAGTACGTAGTTGTTTGCTGGTCACTATACATTATCGTTTTTGATTGTCTATCATTTAAGAATTCTTCTTCCATGTCAACTGATGATCTCCCCACCAATTTGCGTTTTGCTATAAGACTGACTGCGACCTGTTTTTCTTGTAGGAAATCGGCTTTCATAAGTTTGCGCCCCAAACAATTAAAAACTTTAGATTCCATGGGTACATGAGCCGTCGTAAAGCTAGCAGAGGTTGCCACCAAGAAGCTGGCGCCTTGAAGGATTGTGGCCACCTTGGAAAATCGCATTATGATTGATTGCTTTGCCTAAAATGAGATCTGTCTGGTAATCTATGGAAGAAACTTGTGCTGTATGCGACATTGTTGGAGCAAGAGCCAACGCAGTTATATGTCTATCTCGGCTACCTTTCGACCGAAATTTTATGCCATTTAAATTAGAGATATCTTAGATCAAGCCGATTGAGCTTCTTAATCGTTTTATTACCATTCCTCGGCCCAAGTCTTTGGAGTAGTCTCTTGGCGGCGCTATGTACATGTCATGACCTGGAGGATTCCCCTTGCAAAAAGCTAATCTTTTTGATTGAGCGAACGAGTTTGGATTGAATAATATGGCTCATTTCGGAATGGTTCATCCATTGCCTCATCTCCGGCACAGGCATTTTTGATTATTTCGTGATTTCTGGTCATGCCCTGTTCTCTTGGATGATGAGGGTATGAGTTGGATGACTTGTGAATGACTGCCAAAATGCTTTCCCGCAATTTTTGATTTGTTGTACAGAAGCTATCAACTTTAATGTTATCTATCGCACCTTTGGTGTACGCTTCATATAGTTGTTTATTCAAAGTGATACAATCCATTAACAGATGGCAGACCAGGTAGAACAGGCCAACAGGGCAAGGTGTTGGGTTTCTATTTTTAATTCTACCTTTTGAATAAGTCGCCAATTTACAGACCAGATAAACTTTCAATTTACCTCATCTACAATAATTGACATCGAGCTCGTGGAGAGCGCTTGAGCTTTTCACGCGATACCTGGGCCATTTCATTTAAAGTTACTTTCCGGCAAAGACGAATTCTTCACCTTCCAGTGGTGCCGGTGTAGTCGCTCATTATGCTTTGCATATCTGGGATAGACAAGAAGAGTCGCATCCGAATCGAAGTCGAAAGCAAACACATGCATATCTCCATTTGACGAGTTCTCAATCATGCAGCACTCATCATTATCTTCTGAGTCTTCAACCTCTTTCTAACCACATACCATCTCGCCTCAATGACGGGTAAAGGCGTTACCCGATTGCTAACAGGAGCTTGCCTCATTGATTTCCAGCCATCTCTCACTACACATTTACGACGCTATTTATACCCGCAAGAAGGAAATCAAGTCGAAAACTACAAAGCCTGGGTCTTGGTTCATCGGGGACTTGTGCTCTGATGGGGTTATAAAACTCGAGGAGAAATAGATGGCTGAGAGGGGGAGCGAGAGGGGAACAGGAATCTGAAGACCAAGCTCGGACTGACATTTTCGAGGGGCTTTCACCTTTAGAATTTTTGTGGGCGCCAAGACCGAGATTTCGGCTAATTAGCTGGGAGGGCCTATATTGTCGATGAGCCAACGGCACTCCCTAGCGCCCTGTACGGCACAAAAGAAGTCGGGCTAAGCAACTATACAGCAATCACGCTCTATCGAGACTTTTCTGAAATATCAGCACCACCTGCGGGAAGGAGTTGGAAGGAGGCTAGAAAGGCAGAGGGTGAATTTCCCGAGGTACCCACAAGTCTGCAGCGCCCAGCTGGCCGGCCTCTTCGAACGCTTCAGAAGGGGCACTATGTCTTCAGATTTAGTCCTAATGTCGGAACTAGATAAGCCTCGCATCCAGCGGTTTTTGCAAATTTTCCCGGCTGCCATACACCCACCAATGGCCATCTTTTCATTGGCTGGAGAGGGGAGATGATGGAGGGCAAAGGGCTCCTCTTAGTGTATGATCGAATGAGGACTTGTAAGGGGTGGTACTGTTTTAGGGGAGCTGTATGAGAGGCATAGGAGGGGATATACTACTGGCATAGATATACTTGGCCTATAGGCAGAGAGGATGTTGTGTTATCCATGTAACTTACAATGGTATATGCTTTAGTTCACGTCATAGTAGATGCACGTGACTGTGGAACTAAACCGCGGGGTGTTAAGTTTTTTTTTTTTCTAAAAATTAAAAGCGTATTCAGCTATGTAGCTATGACACAGTTCTAACATACAAAATATATCTAAAAAGTTTCTCCTTTTTTTTCCCAAAGTAGGTTTAGTTTTACTCAATTTCACCTTCTGCATGCCCTAAGGCATTTAGTTGAATCTAGAAAGCAAAGTAGTGCTATTTTCCCAATCTGTGTCCCAAAAAGAAGTGATAGTTTAAGAGGTGTTACTTCTGCAAAAAGTTTTCTCCTTTCAACCTTGAATTTTTTACAATGAAGGATTAGATGTGGCACTGTCTGTCTTCCTTCCCCACAGTAGTCACATCAATCACTTTCTGATTTTCCAATATTTTTGAGGTAAGCCAGAGTATCCCTAATACCAGTCCTTGCCTGGAAGTATTCAACCTGAGTCCTTCTGCTGTATTTGTCGTAGTTGTAGGGTTTGAGCTTGAAGTCTGGAGTATTCTTCAGTGCAAAAATCCTATAGTACCTTCCAAGTCCTTTGGCCTTTCTGCCCTCTTCTTCTCTGAACAGCTCTGATTGCCATCTTTGTTACCAAGAGATGACTACCTGTTGACTCAATTTTTCTCTTAAGAATGATAAAGTGGTAAATTTGTCCATTCTCATAGCTGGTATTTTTTCCCCAGCTTTGGCAAGTTTATCTGCCATTTCATTTCACTCTATACCCATATGTCCAGGGCACAAATGAAAATGATGGCTTAGGTGTTTTGCAGAACTTCGTATTTGATGACAGATTTTGGTTGGTTTATTCTGGATCCGAGAAAGTGAGGCTTGGCTGTCAGAAAAGATGAAGATATCTCCAGAAATATTGAGTTTATCGATAGTTTGAATGGCCTTCAGGATGCAATATGTTTCTGTATCAGTGATACCCATTCCATTGCCAAGGTTGAAGGAGTAACATTTGATCTGCCTTGTGACAGGAAGATAGATGATAAAGCCAATGCTGCTGCTTCCCCCTAGAGAAAGAGATCCATCTGTGTAAACTAGACAAGCCTCAAGAGATAGATTGGCCAGAAGATTCTAATGCTCTGTTCGAGCTACATCCTTGGGCTGTTGGAAGATAGGGTGTTAGTCTGTAATGCATGTATGGGTATTATGGACCAAACTAGAACTCGATAGAATAGAGATAATAGAATCAGCGATAGACTGTTGTACTGAAGGAGAACGAGCTGGTCATTTCTCGTAGGAGAGAAATGATATCACAAGGGAATGTTCTAGCACTAGGCTGTGAACAACACAGTAAGTCGGGAGCAAGATATAAGGAGGTCTCAACCCCCTTCCATTCATTGTAACTAAGTTTCCTAAATACGAGAATATAGAATAAAGTCTTACAAATCAAGAGAACACACGCGATAGCGATTAACGAGACCTACTGCGAGCATAACTTCCCAAAGAGTATCCATCTTCCTGCTCCTATATAGCCTAGTTAATATAACAGAGGACCTGCATGTCCTACATATTTTTTTTTGCATCAGATTTTAATTGCGTATGCAGCTATCTAGCTATGACACAACATCAGAGAAAAAGTACACAATAGATGACTCAATTATAACTGGAGCACTCACGCCTCGGATCTCATTTGCAAGTACCACTGCGAAGTTATGGCGGCTTTTTCTTCACTCCAAGTCAACCCTCATCCGTGAATACCCACGCAAGGAATGTCTCGAAAACCCTGAGTTATCCAAACATGCCTCCATCATCCATATAGTTTTCTCTGCGCAAAATGTGATCTGAGATGTCTTCTTCCCAAGTGGAGTAGGTGCCCAGGCTACTCAAACCATACCAGAGAACACCACCAGGAGTCGGGTCGCAACACCTTCCATCGTCGGCTTGTTTTTATAGTGGCAGCTGCACTATCGCAAGCGAAGTCTTGGCGCGCACCAAGCCCAATACGTAAAACTCTATGCTAAACTTCGGAATTTCACGCGCTTCATTGATACATCCTTTCTTTGCATCATCTTGAAAGCTTGCTCTGATCCCCCTCACGACCATCCCAAAGAACTGTCTCCCAGATTTATAGAGGACACCGCGTACAGGTGTTCAGTCTTGCTCTCCTATGGAGGAACTTCTCGCCAAACATAAATTTTGTATTTGTTTATTGTCCTATGAAGTCTATGACTATGTAAGTACAAATAAGCCCTTTCTATCTACAGGCCGGGAGTATCTATGCCTCGGGTAGTGTATATTGAAAGGCTGAGGGCGATGGATAGGGAGACGTCACCTTGTGGATAGAATACTGATAGGTATGGGAGAATTCAATAGATAACTTGGACAGAGTAAGATGATTGATGGCGAATTGTATTTGTGGATGATGGATGTAGATACTGAGAGTAAAAAGGCCCTATCTATATACAGGAGTTCCTAGCCTTATTCCTCTACATGTTATTGTCTATGAAAGCTAGAGTAACTACAATGGTGTCCTCATTGTAGTTTTGTTTTGTTCATTAACGTGCTAGGTTACATGACTACCGTTGCACTCCTATTGGAGCTTAAGCACGTGTGGGGTTGGGCCGTATCAGGTTAACTACCGTGAAGTACAGATAAACCTCGTCCCACTTTAATGACCGGACCACCTCAGACTTCACCTATGTGTTGAATCATACCAAGCCTAACCGTCCAGAAACCCGCTGTATACACGCCGTAGCGCAATTTCCTCCTCAGCCTCGGCCACCATGCGCCCGAGCCCTTGACATCCTCATTGACTCCGAAATATAAATGCCGTCCAATATTTCATCGTTGCTCTAGCCTTGCACCTTCATATCGTACCATTGGGCTGTTTTCGTCATTGGGGATTTGTGTAATCCCCTCGGTGCATCTTCCCTCTTCTTCCTCCTTTGTACACGTCCCGTTTCCATCATGACTTTCCTCATTAGGGCGTGTGTAGGTAGGTGATCGGACGAGTATGGAAGTGGGTCGCAAGTATAGGATCGATTGAGAAATGCTTCGTCGCAAGTATAAAAGGAGTTTGAGAGATGTCGGATGTTTGAATACGACTCCCAGACAGACCTAAATCCACTCGTGAAACGTATGTTAGTGGTGATGAGTTTTTGTTCAACTTTTTTCCGGCTGTGAAATCTCTGTCGACTGATTTATCGACCAAAATATCGAGTGCAACTCCTTCAAGTCGAAAATCCATCAAAAAAAATTCATCCCACCCTTTTTTGTGACCGAATCTCGGCTCTGGGAGAATATTTCACTCCCAGGTTTGTAGAGGACACCACTGACAGGTGTTCAGCCTTCATCCTCCGTCCTCATTGTAGTGAACACGTTGATGTTAGTGTGTAGCGACCAGGAGGCAATAGTAATCAGACTCTAAGGAATTAACTTTGCTCGTGCACAGTTATCCCCTGAAGGTGTGTGCAGTTATGAACTCAGATTTTTACAACAGTGTACTCCTTCCTATGCCTCCTTCATGACTTCTTTCCAGCAGTAATACGCCCACAGGTCTTCATTCGAGTACATACTGAGAGGAGCCGGTATCCCATCATTATCTCCACTCTCTGGCCATCGATTTGATGGCCATTTGCGGGTGTTTAGCTACAGGGAAAAGTCTCAAAAAATCCATTAGGTGCGGGGCTCTCCTATGACGAAGAGGCCGGCTAGTCGGGCGCAGCAGATTTGTGTATACCTAAGAGTGTCTCTCAACCTTTCTAGCCTCCTCCTTATTCCTCCTCTGATTCATGCTGCAGGACAAACCGAAGGTCGTGAAAGGATGTCAGAAAAGTCTTGGTCGAGAGTGGCTGTCGTGAAGGAGCCTAGCCTAGCATTCAAAAGTCGTTATGGACGTGGAGTCGTCGAGTAACCCATTTATTTTAGACGCCCTCCTGGCTAGTATGATCGGTAGTTAAGATTAGTAGGGACGATATTATAGACGAGTCGAAATCTGCTTTTCTTGAGGGCGGAAGGGTCTTTTACTTTGCTTTCGTCGGCGTTTTTTTCGCGCGCCGGTGGGTAGCACATGTTGTGATATAACGAGGGCTTCTCTGACTATCGTTGTAGCATTTGGTACCGTATTATCTTTCCTCATTCCTGGCATCATTATCGTCGTCTTGGTCGTCTTGTGAGTAAGCGGATGCTTTTCTTTGACGGAGCGGGAGATGACTCAGCTCAAAGTTGAAAAGGTTTAACTCACTCTCGGCTCTGCAGACTCTTCAGTGAGAGCTGGAGGTTCGTGGGGGACACCACTGACAGGTGTTGAGAATAGTCCCCTCGCGCAGCACGGGAGGCGATGTGGCCACTGTTTTATTATCAGACCTCCATTGCCTTTTTAGAACCTTCCCTCCATGCTCACTGCCTAGCTCACCAAGATCAAGCATCATGTCATGGGTCATGGGCCTGCTAGGCTATCCTCTGCAAAGTATGTCTCTATTTTGTGCCATTCTCGCGCGCATCACCAAGGACTCGTGTATCTCCATTATTCTAGAGAATCAGAACAGACTTTGATTACTTCGTTCACTCGTACTGATGACAACCCCATTTCGTCACACACTACCCTAATAGTCCATCGCCACATAGATTGCGTCGAAAGTAAAAAATGAATGATCCCATTACTACTCATGCATGAAACTCGGACTAAATTGGCACACATTGCTCGAGGCTCAAAGTTCTCTCCAAGAATCAGGATCTAACCCCATCCTAAAGTGTGTTCATCACCTCCATCATCTCCTATCCCTGCACCAGATTTTAATTGCATGTACAGCTATCTAGCTACGACACAATAGCAGAGATATGGCGCATATTACATGATTCAACCATATATTTAGCCCTCATGTTTCAGATTTCATTTGCATGTAGTACTAGATGATCATGGCGGCTTTTTCTTCGCCCCAACTCCTCACTCGACCATGAATATTCATCCAGGATAACGTCTTCAACATACAGAGTTCTCTAGACCAGCCTCCATCATCCATCTGCTTGTCTCCGCGTGAAATGTGGTCTGAGATGTCTCCTTCCCAAGTGGATAAGGTGTCCAGGCTACTTAATTTATACCGGATACAACCACTAGGATGTGGACCTCACCACCTTCTACCCTTGGCTTGTGTTCATAGTATTAGCTGCAATCTCTGCAGTGACCTGGTATCTTGAGGCTATCAATAAATCATGTACCAGAGGCGAGGTGTCATGTCCTTCACTTAGTTGTCATGTTTAGATGCTACAGTAATCTGAGCCCGAGTAAAATTAATGAAAAACTCTCCATTATAGCTTTCAGGCTCTACAATCTCTCCAGAATCACTTGATTAGGTCACAAAAATCAAAGGCCTAACATCTCCCGTATTCCAATTTACTCGCTGTGACGGAAACTCCGAGTTGGTGATGATAATGTCGATTTAATAAACTGTATAAAGAAGAAAGAGAAATCTAGCTACAACTAACGGGTCTTTATAATATTCAGCCTCTCAGTGATTGTCTTGACTGATTTCTTCACCCTAGGCCGAATACTTGCCACCCAGCCACATATTATCAAGAATCACTACGCTGTGACACTGATCTGGCCCCTTGGCTGGTAGTGCCGTATCTTCCAGTTTCCTCTATCATTTCCTTACAGTCTTACAACATGAATCTTCAACAATACGCTTAGGTATCCACATAAGCTCAGACAACGGCCAAACCGTGACACTCGCTCTCTAATATCTCCAAGTGAAGAGTATATATTTCTCCAAATTTCTCATACCAGCTAGAACAATACACCCCTAGCTTCATTCTAGTCAGTCGCCAGCTCAAACGCCTCGTAGCATACGAGCGTTGCACTTTGGATGCATAATACATGGTGGACAAGCTATTTCAATCCCAAGAAACTATCCGCTAACAGACAGTAGGGACCATAGGTACTTCGTGCTTGATACATCTCGAAAAGCTTCTGGACTGATGAAATATAGAATGAGGGGTACTAACCCCAGGAGACCTGAATGGGGATAAATATTTTGTTTCCACCCACCGAAAGTAAAATCTTCAGTTTTTCAAAATAGGTCCACAGCATTTCAGCGGAGCCACCATAAAAGAAACATTTTGCACCTAGACTCTTTTTCAAGTGGGGAACTCCCTGATTAGCTGGCATCTCTTGTGTAAGTATTGTTGTGGCGGCGGATTTGAGAGAGGGCTCTGTCGTGATTATGAGCTTACGGTAGTCAATGGGCTGAAGCTCCTGTTTAGCATTATGCGCAGGATGTGATAATCTTGTGGTCAGATTTTTGTGTATTGAAGCCTATATTGATCTAATGAAGAGAAGAATTTTCCTATGTACAAGATTGAGATAACTGCACTGAGTACTACCCGATACAGCTGCCACTCTAATCTAATGTAATCCTCATAGACCACAAATTACAATAGGCTCAAGCAATGAGACATCTATTTAAAATTATCTGGTCGGACGAATTCAGTGAATTGCATGAAATATGGTCGTAATCTATACGATCAAACGAGCTGATCAAACTCTATTTTGATTTACTAAAATAATGAAAATACAAGAAACACTCTATGATGCGTTAAAGAAGAGTTCGTAATAGGAAGATATTTTACAGGGATTGACCGAGCGGGCTCAACCCCGGTAACTATGAGATCGAGCCTAAAAGCTAGGATGAAGGGTAGTTAGTTAAAAATATTTGAAACCAGAGCGCTGTACCGTCAAACAATTACGGTTAATTAAACGACATGACTCCTCGCTTGACGCCGAAAACGTTTGGCTGGACAATACTTATGCGGTGATGAACCTGACACGTAAGGGACAAATAAATTTTTTACGCCCTATTTCTATGGTAATCTTGGTTGCCTTGTACACGAACTTTATGCGGCGACATTTTTTTGTGTTTACTAGAATTATACAAAAACTCGTATATTTCGTTTCCAGGTATATTTCCAAGAGCCGGTGTGATCGTATAATCTTCTTTGGCAGGTTTTTGAACTACAAGCTTGAGAAATCCGGCGATATATACAAGATGTGTAAGCTGTCCCGGTCTTTTCATAGTCATCAAAGGAAATTTTGAATCTAATAGCTCATGAAAGGGAATAAGTCTGTCCCAATCAAGTGAGATCTTGGCATATGCTTGGTGACTGTGTTTTCCGTAAGGGCCATGAGCTTTCGCATGACGGTAGGAGATTTCTTGGATGAGTATTTTGACCGTGCAAGGAGAGAGCTTCCTTTCGTTAATATCAGAAATCTTGATAGGGGTGTTTGCGATATTGTATTGGTCAATTTTCTTATGACACTCCTTATAAAACAGATCTTGGTCTGCAGAGTCTATTTCCATGTCATTTTTGCGACGAGAATTTACAACAAAGTGCTTCTCGAGGAAAAAGAGATTTTCCTTTCTTTTGCCGCAAAATTTATGAATAATATGATTCTTCGATGTTTTCCGCAGTTCCTCGTCTGTAACGCCCTCTGGAACCTGATATGACTTTTTCGGCGACCCCTCAAAACGGAGATAATGATTGATACTGCCTACTTCAAATGGTTTGATGATGTCAAATTGATAAGTATCTCCCCTTCCGAATATCCAGAGTGAAGATATTACCAAGAATTGGCAGTGCATGATGTTAATGACAGAAGTCGCAGACCGAGTGTCGTTTGTAGGCTAAAAATTCGACAAGTTCAATTACTGCAGGTCTGAATGCTGTTGGAGCTGTTCAAGAGACTAGATATTGGAGTTTCGTGGAGCAACGTTGTTGATTGTCCACAACCGTCGTGTATTTAAATGTATTTAGAAACGACTTAATCCAATTGAAGAATGGAAAAGGATTGTAGAATTGCAACACGGGTAATGCTTGTAATTTGTCTGATAAATAAGAGAAATGACTAGTTGAAGAGAATAGTGACAGAATAATATCGCGTGTGCAAGTAAACTAGACGAACGCTGTGTCTTATACTGTGCAAGTCCATAGTTCCCATTATATTATTTCCTCTCATCTAGACGCCAGAGATTAGTGGACTAGAAAAGACAAAATGAACCTGCGTCAGAAGTTAGTCGTGGTAATATTAACTTGTGCATCTAGGGACAGCGATAATTCTATGAAGCATGGGAGATCAGGTCACCATGCTGGACTCGGGTATCAGCTTTGTAGAGCCATCGACAGCGATTGGGTACATATGAAACTATGTCTGGTTAATAGTGAAGTGGATATCCCTGATTAAATGCTTAGGTTTCCAAAGGCTAACTTTGGGGTATTTCTTCGAGCCAGACTAGCATTGTGCTGAGCGCGTCCATCACCATGGTCAATGTAAAGTACTGGAAGCTACCAGGCGATAAAAACAGTCGTAATTCTTGTCTTTAATAGATTGACTGTCGAAGTCAACCTATCGCCTTCAGGACGAAGCTTTCTGACTAGTGTAGTGCAACGATAGAAGATTGTGCAGGATATCTTCAAAATAAGCCCATCCTTAGTAGTGTACTTGTACCGTGAACGTGCGCGCGAAGGTGACTTCTTGCACAGAATTTGTCAATCTACTATCTTCATGCTATTAAGCGAGTCAAAACGACATGTCAAACACTCATATCATACAGTACCCTACAACATGGAAAGACAAGGGGAGATGAAAGCTCAATACCTGTCACCGTTATCCCCTACTAACCTCCAGCTCTTCCTGTAGAGTTTGCAGAGCCGAGATTAAGTATCAACTACGTTTTCACTTGAACTAGGGTTCGCAATCTCTTTCGACCGCCTCCTGGTGGTGTTCTCTGGTATAGTTTGAATAACCTGAGCATCAAGTTCACTTGAGGAGAAGATGCTCTAGACCACATTCCTCACGGAGAGAAGAAAATGAATGATGGAGACAGTTCTGGATGACTCGCGGTGTTTGAGACGTTCCCCTGAGTGAGTATTCACGGATGAGGGCGGACTTGGGATGAAGGAAAGGCCGCCTTAAGTTCGCAGTGCTACTTGCAAATGAAATCCGAGGCACGATTGCTCTTCTCTTATATCGAGCCATCTATTATAAACTATTTCTCTGATATTTTGTCATCGCTAGACCGCTGCATACACAATTAAAATCTAGTGCAAAACTATCTCTTTCGGCGTTTTTTGTCGTCTTGATCCCTCGGCACAACCCCTTAATACTACTTTCATGAAGCTAACCACGATCAGATCAGATAGTAGGGCCAAAGCCCTTCTCATTACCAACCTTTGATCATGGAGGAAAAGCCATCCGATGAGTTTCCGGAGCGTACCCAGCACCCGGTACGGAGATGGCGGATTGGATCAAGTTGACCTCGAATGCTACAGAGAAAGGAGATATAGATGGATATGTGCACCTTGTGTGCCTCCAGCGTCTAGGCCTCGTCTAGCTTGGGCTACAAGTATTTTGGATGAATTTTGCTCGCTAGCAGTTTTCATTGCTACCTTTTTTGTATGATTTTTTTGGGGGCAAAATTTTTCACATACATTTAGATTGGATCCCGTGTATTATCACTTGGATAATTGGGTATCCATAGTGGGCGTCGTATCAGAGATCATCATCGTAACAGAAGAGCATTGGTCTGCTGTACAAGGTGGGATCTGAGCCAGAGATAAGCCTAATGCGCTTCGTAGTCAATTACTCAAAAGCACAGTAAAATCCAACCATTTTAAGACAAGTAGGAACTAATTGTAGGACGCGACTTTTTATAAAAAGTGGTAATCAGAGTGAACTAATTTGACCCATCATCTCTTGTAAATTATGGCGTAATATACTACACTACATTGGGGGACTATTCTCAACACCTATCAGCGGTGTCCCCTACGAACCTCCAGCTCTCACTGTAGAGTCTGCAGAGCCGAGATTGAGTGACAAATTCCACACTTCTATGAGGATTCGCAATCGCTTTCGCGGTCTGTATCGTCTTCATCTCTCAACACATTCCTCTATCACCATTATCACGAAGCCAACCACGATCAGATCAGACGGTTGGGTCGAAGCCCTACTCGTCACCCAACCTTGATCATGGAGGAGAGGCCATCCGATGAGTTTGCGGAGTGTACCCAGCACCCGATACGGAGGTGGTGGATTGGATCAAGTCGGCCTCGAAGGTTACAAAGAAGGGAGATATAGATGAATATGCGCACCTCATGTGGTCCCGGTGTCTAGGCCTCGCCAGGCTGGGGCTGCAGGTCTTTTGAGGCTTTTTCCCGCGCACGCAGTTTCCATTGCTACCATTTTTACTTTTTTGGGTAGAAGGTTCTGTGGAAAAGGTGGCCGAATTCCACGGGCAAACACTGAGCTGAATGGCTATTCATCAAGGGGAATATATTAATGATCTTTCAAGTAACAAAAGAGGATAGCAGCACTGTACAAGGTGTGACCTGGGTCAGAGAGGAGCCAAATGTGCTAGATAGTCTATGACTCAAGTAGTACAATAAAACACACACACACAAATACTGCACTACGTTAATCTTGTGGCCGAAGCACATGACTGCCAGCAAAGACATATTCTTCACCTTCGAATCGTACCGGTATGATCACTTAATATGATCTGCATGTCAGGGATAGTCACGAAGAATCGCATCTGGATCGAAGTCGAGAGAAAATACAAAGTTGTCTAAAAACGTCGACTTCTCATCATTTCTGGTCCTATTTATCTCACGTGAGCTCTTCATCTCAATCGCACTACATACCCTTCCGCCTCAACGAGTCATACATAAATTTTTCCACTTTCAAACTGAGATTCGTCTCCCCGGCGACTGGACACCTCCAGCTAAAATGTCACGACGTTACATATATCCGCAGCGAGGACTTAAATCACAATCCACAAAGCTCGGGTTTTGGCTTGCGTGAGACTGGTACTCTAATAAGGCTCCATATTTTGAGACAGAAAATGGAGGCGAGACGCAGAATAATAGCAGCAAAAAGTCACTAATGAGTATGTTGGAACTCCAATTTTTCGGGGTGCTCTCGACTTTGGGCTACTTGTAGGCGCCTAGGCAGCGATATTGGACAATGCTGTAGATAGTCTAAGAATAACTCGCACCATGTTTATTTTGGTGGATGGAGGTAGGAGAAAATGAGTCGAGTTATTACGAAAAAATTTGGCGTAGTTCAAGGAAAGAATGAATGAATATTTATTCGTGACGGGCACAAGCCTTGCACTCAAAGAGCATGACACGGAAAAGACTAGCTTCTCCAGCGACTATATACGACGATAACTCAGTTTGACATTTGGACTACTCATGTAGTGGGTGCATTCGCTTATACCACTCGAGACCTTGGTGCTAGGGACTTTCACCCTTCCCTCAACCGTTACTATCCACCAAAGGGAAAACATGAAAGCCCTTTGGCTACCCTAACATGCCTTTGTCATCTTGTATATAGCTGCCGCGCGAGATATGGCCTCACAGTCTGTTACGGGCTGTGCCCGGATTGGGACTGGTCACTAGGACTAACCCAGCTAGATCTTTAAGCGCCAACGAAGCAGCGCTTACAGAGACGCGAAAGGTTGCATGGGGAAGAATGCAAGGATACGCACAAAGAGGGATCTAAGTGTCGCATAAGGATTAATGCAAGGTTGCGCACAAGAACGAGTCTCAGTGTTGCATAAGGATAATTGCAAGGTTGCGCATGAGGAAGGACCCAAGGGAGTACGTACTAAGGGGGAAGGATGTCACAGGAAAGAGGGTAGCCGGGGAGAATGGAGTATTCTCAGGTAGGCTAGGAGGGGAGCTTAAACGCGACGCTGAGGAGGACATAAAGGACAGGAGTCGTCGTAGGCAGATTAGCTTCCTAAGGAAAAATTATCAATTCCCATTGAGTTAACGTCTTTCAAGTACTTCTGAATTCTTTAAACCCTGTCCACAGTCCTCCCTTTCTCGAGTGAGGTAGGTGTCCAGGCTATCCAGACTTTGATTCGGGTAGAAGACGACCAGGAGGCGGACCAAAACACCTTCCATCGTTGCCTATTTTTAGAGTGTCGGTTGCACTATCAAAAATCGTTGCTTCTGCACTCACAGACAATCTTAAGTCGAAGACACTCGAAAAATGTGCGTCCCAGCATGCCCATTTGTGACCTCTTCACTTGTTAGTCCCACACCCCAGCTGCCTGTCCTCCCTCAAGATGTGAAGCCCCATTAGAGCAATGGTCCCCCATAGACCAAGACCCGAGCTTTGTATATTGTGACTTTGTTTCGTCCGCGCGGGTATACATAGCATCGTAAATGTGTAGTGGGAGATGGCCGATTTTTGATGAGGCAAATGCCTGATTGCAATTGGAGTAAAGCCATTATCGGTATTTGAGGCGAGGTGGTGTGGTAAGATTGAGGTGGGGGACTCGCGTGAGAATGAAAGGTTCGACACTGACGATGAGTTATCGATTTTAGATATGCTTGCAAGTGCTTTTGACTTCGATTTGGTTGCAATTCTTATTGGCTATCCCAGATATGCAGAGCATACTGAGGGATTACACCGGCACTACTGGAAGGTGAAGAATTCGTCTTTGCCGACAATAAAAGGTTTGGATCAGAGCGGTTTTAGTTCCTTGAACTTATTTAATCCCAGTGTTAGGTGTTCTTCAGAAAGATAAGTGGGACACAGTATTGCGTTGTAAATGCTGATGGAAGAGTCTTATAT